ACAACACACTCATGTTTTAAGATACCATTTGAGTTACATGAAGTGTCACATTGCTCTATTAGTTTGAATTCAAATATGGAAAAGCTAATTAAAAAACTTTGTTGAGAATTTCGAAACACATCGTCATGCTTTTGTAGGGGCAAAAAGGACATTGCAAGATACTAAAAATTTCATTGAATCATGCCTGTGATAAACCTTTTGGTGGCAAGTTATGCATCTTAGGCGGTGATTTTAGGAAAATACTATTTGTCGTAGCTACAAAAATACGTGAGGCGATTGTTGTCATATCCTTGCCAAATTCTCCTCTTTGGAACAAATGGAAAATAATACATTTAAGAAAAAATATAAGGTTAAAGTTATTGAAGGTACAAGGCAGTCACTCTGAGAGCTTCGCAGTTTTGCATAATGGATAAATAAAGTTGGAGAGGAAAAACAAAGTTCTTGCATTTTGACGATGATACTAAATCCGATTGGATTAAGATTCCTTTAAGATATTTATAGATAGAAATACAAATAATATACAGTCTTTAATAAGTGACATATCCAGAGCTTAAAAAACGATACACATAAGTTACTTACCTAAAGAAAAAGCAATCTTAGCACCAAAGAATAGAGATGTAGATCGAATCAACTCTATGATGTTATCTATGTTGCCAGGTGAACAACGAAAATACTACATTGCCGATATCATAATTCCTGGCGAGCCAAATCATACAAATGAGAATCTACATCCTATGGAATTATTGAATATTATAAATATTTCCAAATTTCATGTCATTGTTTAAATATGAAAGAAGGCGAGCCGGTGATCTTCTTTGAAATATCAATCAATCATTAGGTCTTTGCAATGGAATTTGACTTATAATAACCAGATTAGGCAACAAGATTTTATCAGCGTGAATTGGTTCACATGTAGGAGAACCACGCTACTATCACCTATCGTATTTTCACAAAGTGCAAGCTAAACATTTATTCAGATGAAAAGAAGACAATTTCCAGTGAAGCTGGCATTTGCAATGACTATGAAAAAAAAGTCAAGGTCAAACATTTGAAAAATTCTAATTGTACTTTCGGATCTTATATTTTGCTATAGAACGGTCAATGTTGCACGATCCATGGTTACACATCCAGAATGGTTGAAGATTCTCATTCATAATACAAGTGACACTCCAGAAAATACCACAAAAATTATAGTATATCTTGAAGTACATTCTGTTATAAAAATGTAAAAATTATTTTATACTACAATTTCACAAAATTATATTTCAAATGATTATTTATTCTCTTTTTAATTAAATTGGTTGTATATTATTATTTTATAATTATTCATTAGTACAATGTGCTAGCATATAATTATATATATAATATTATTGTCATATGTCTACTATCAACGTGTAAATTTATAGGTGATATAGACAAGAGTCTTCAACCCTTGCAACTTCGGCTCCGTAAAGCCAAAATATAACCATTAAAGCAAAATTGATTAAATTAGTAAACAAGTAGAATACAAAATAAAAAAACTAGAATTTTGAAACAATTGTTCATTTACATAGAGTAAGTATTCAATTTAGCCGCGTTTGACATTTTAAGTTAAATATTACATACTATTTATAGAACTTTTATATTATCATAATAAGTTGACATTAATTTATATATTTTTCAGTGATATATAATTCAAAGCGTGGTACACCAATCGGACATACATTCTATACTTCCAAATTTCAATGAAGGAAATATATACGTTATCAACATAGGAATGTAATTATCACTGGTAGAATATACAATGTAGTGCTTCATCCATTTCAATTACTGCTGCACCAAGATACGATGATTGGGCAAATAAGGAATGAAAATGATAGATTACCAAATCACTTTGCGAACATCGTCTCATTGAAGTATATGAGATCATATATAGATATGGACAATCAGTTAATTGGTATATGTTATTTTTAATATATATTAAATATTTGATCTTCATAAATGATATTTACATTTATTTAAAATGCATGCGGATGTTTTTGGGATAGTTGCCCATATAGTTCACGTGTGTATAAAAATGGACACATACACACGATCTTATACTTTTAGATAAAAAAGTAATATCATAGTTTTTTCATTATACTATCTTTCTATTCTTAATATTCATATACAATCTAATATAAAACTAATTATGTATTTTACAATAGTAAGTTTGGTAGCAAGTATATGTAATTCTTAAAGAAGATTGACTATTATAAATGGAAATAAGTAGAAAATAATGATAAACAAATGCACGACTTTATTGGATGTAGTGTTCTATAAAATTATATATTTATGTTTCCAACAAAATATTATCACGTTAAATATTATCATATCATCCTATAGCATTAGCAAAATGTTAATATTTTTTAATAGATCTAGCTGTCTACACACATCATTTTACAAAATTGTATATCAATGACAACACATCGAACACAATTTGTGTATCTAGTTAGAAAACTATATTTTATTATTTTATGATATATTTCACATCATTTAATATTTTGTAGGTTTAGATTCATGCATGATCTTATAGCGTAAAAGTTATTAGAATTTATCGGATCGAAGATATTTAAGACCACTGAATTACTAAATGTTGCTAGTTATTTTTTCTATTTGATTTTGGTTGATATTTGCAGGTTGTCTGGACATTGAATGGGCTGCAGCAGGAGATTGGGCCTTTGCTACCTGAGCCCAAAGTTTATTAAGACTCACATTGTTATTTCTCCAAAAGCCTGTTTGTGGTGATGGTAGACCCAAAATCGAGACGTGTAACAGATTGATGAAGCATCATTGAAGCAAGGAATCTAAGTTTGTTGTAACCAATTTGGTAGTTGAGCAAATCAGATTGTTAAGGGAACATTATGGAGTTTCTACGATAGAATGGAGTGAGAAGAATAAAACATTGAAGGTGAGGGGTTTTGGGGGATAGGTTGAGTACGAAAAATCATCAAAAAATGGGTAGATAGATTTCTTGAGTGTGTAGCTCGATTGTATCAACATATCATGTGCTTCAATGGTTTCAGTAGTGAGTTTCGCCTGGGTTGGAACCCCCCAGATGTAGGCTGGTGCAACTGAACTGGGTTATTATTTCGTTATGTTTCTATTGCTCTTCGTCACCGGTACATGCATTCGCAGATCAATCGTCCAACGAACAACCAGTCTGTACTGATGAATTTTTCTGTGTTGACTTTTAAGTTTGTTGTTGTTGTGCGTGAGTTAATCGTTTTTCGGGGCCAACAGTAAATATTGCAAATGCCAAAATAATTTAAATCTTTGATTTACGATATGACAACAACATACATATATTATATTTTGTAGGTTTAGATTCATGCATGAACTTATAGCGTAAAAGTTATTAGAATTTATCATATCGAAGATATTTGAGACGACTGAATTAGTAAAGATTGCAAATGCCAAAAGAATTCACACCTTTGATTTACGATATGACAACAACATACATGTATTATATTCTTTACACATATGTATGTTTCTATTTCATTCTAAATTAATAAAAACAAATATAAAATATATAAGTAAGGTTCTGTCGTATACTTGGACACAAACAATAAATAGACGGACAAATTATATGGAATGTTTTTTTTCAATTCATACTTGCTTAAGATTTATGTTCCGGTTTGATTATCAATTCGTAAACTACTTAATACGACACGTGAAATTTAATTAATAGTACTTTATCTATATATATAATGAATTTTGAATTGTTTATGTGTACATGATTTGCAAGAAAATGACAAATAACTGTTTCAAGAGTATCTAAGCATATATATATATATATATATATTGATCATGCATATATTTTCGTAGGTTTTGTTAAGCTACATTTGATAGTAGTTTCGGTTAAATTATATTCGATAGACTAGACCTAGACCGGTGTATGTGGATTTGGTCTATCAAATTTTAAATGTTAATTGATGTAAAAATATGTTCATTTGTTTATGCTGTCTTTATACAAAATTTTTGTATTTACTGTTCCCTCAGGCTAACTTAAATTTATATTTATTTTGGCCACTTAAAAAATAATTATAGTTTAATTATAATTAACAGTTAAAAGTGTAATATACCGACAATTTTATCTTTATTATTTTTAAAAAAAAAATAAAATATTATTAAAATAATTATTTTATAATTATACAATCCAAAATAAAATTATTATTATTTTTTGAGTGTACGAAAAATAAAATATGTTTTTTATAATAATAATTTTTAATTTTTCAATAATAATTTAGTTGTTTGTTTATTAATATATTCTTATTATGTAATATAAAATATAAGAAAAATACATAATTCAAACCCGTCTATTAGGTTTAATTATTATATCAAAATAAAATATATGATACAAATCATTTTAATTTTTAAATATTAATTACTATATTAGAATATAATATTAACGTGTTACAATAAAAATATAATGTCAATTACGTAAAAATATTTAATAACACAAAAATAAAATATAAACCCTTTACATAAACTTTATATAAATATAAAAAAATAAAATATAAACTTGTTAAATAAACTTTACATAAATATAAAAATATTTATAATATTAAGAATATAAATATAAAATTACTAAGTAGACAAAAGGTAAATAAAAAGGCAGAAGCATAAATTATACCTATGGAGAACAAATCCAATCCCAAATTCTTTTAGCTAAACTTAATTGTAGTTCGGAGGAGATCCGCGAAGCTCCTTAAAATTAATTTCCATTATTATAATAATAATAATAATTTTTAATTAAAATTAATTTATATGATTATAATAATAATAAAATTTAATTATATAAAATAAAATAATTAAATTTCATATTTTTCAGCATTCATGCTTAGTATCTGATCCCACTTTATTATAGTTTTACATTTTATTTTTAAAAAAATATTGTACTCCATAATCATTTAAAAGGAAAAACCAGTAATTAATTTTACAAAATCTAACCATCTTATTATGAAAGAAATAAAAAAACATACTAACGAGATTTTATCATTTATTATATATTATTAATCTCTACAAGACCATCCTCAACGAGATCTTATTATTATTATTATTATTATTATTCTTCCAAACGCGCCCTTAAATTACAAAACCCTAACTCAACGGACTACTCATTCAAGCATGTCTTCCAGAGACGGATCCCGGGCTGAACACCGCCGCTTCTTCTCTGTTGTATTTAAGCTCCTTCGCCTGCTCCTTCGATATTCCGTACGAGTTCACCAGCACATCCTCCGGCATGGCTCTAATGGCCGACAGCCGCCCCGCCAGGTGGCTCTTCATCGCGTTGTCGTTCGTCTTAAAGGCTATGTACTCGAATCCCTCCTCGCCTGCTTTCTTTATCACCACGAAATTCTGCGGCACAATCAGCAGTTCGCCTTCGGAGACCTCGCCGTCGAACACCGGATTGCCTTCGTTCCCGACCACCTGAATCCTCGCGCCGCCGCGCGTCGCGTAGATCACGCTGTGGGCGTTGGTGGTGTAGTGTGGGGAAACCAGAGCATTCTGCAATTCGCGTCCATGGATATATAAAATTGATCAAATCGATCGATTGATTTGATTCGATTCTGGAAATTGAATTACCTTGTAGAGAATTCCGCGCTCGGCGCTGAGGCGGAGGGAGCTGAGGATGGGGAGATCGTGGCTATTGAGGGACCTGATGCGGCCGCCGCGGGGGTTGTAGACGTCGGCGACGGAGGGGTGGTCGATGTTCTGCCGGAGCTTGGCGGCGCAGAATGTCTCCTCCAATCCGTTGGTGTCCCGGCGGCGCTCCTGCTCTTCTTCCCCCCACTCCGGGAAGACCAGCCGGAGGTTTTCGGCTTTAACAATGGTGCCTCGGTTATCGTCGTTGCCCTGTAATTTCCTAATTACCTCTGGCTCGAGATTGAAGATCTCAGCCAAGAGCTCCTCGTCGAATCCGGTGAAGATATTGCGCTTCTCCTCCTCCTCTTCCCCGCCTTTTCTGCTCTCCCTGGCTTCCCGGCGGCGTAGGCCTTGGGTTTGGACTGCTTGCGGATTTCCGGCAAGGAAGAATTTCTGAAGACAAAGAGTAACTTTTGATTGATTGATTAATTGATTAATTTCATCGATTATGGATGTTCAATTAATTACTCTGAATTTGAAATCGAGCTGATTGTTTTCATTGGCGACATCGAGGAGGGATACGATGACGAGGGGGGTGTCGCCGTCGTTGTAAATCCAGTGAGCGATGCCCTGCTGCAATGCGAGGACGTCTCCACGGCGGAAGCGGCGGAGCTTCTGGTGGCGGTCATGGAAGCTCTTGCTGCCCTCTTTGGAGCGCTGCTGGTCCTGGTCAGGCTCGAATTCGTAGGTCTCGGCGCAGCCCGGGAAGGCAGTCCCCAGAATTCCACTGCTCCCTGAACACCCAAAAATAATTCAATTCAGGTTTTTAGATCAATTATATATGATATGATAGGAATGATCGGAAGTGCCTTTGACGACGTAGAGGAGGTGAGGGGCGTTGGTGTAGTAAGGCAGGAGGAGGGCTTTGGGGTGAATGAGGTGGCGGGCGAACTCGGCGCCGGCGCACTGGAACTCGGCGGCGTTGGCGTCCCAGTACTCGGTGAGGCCCGCCTCCGACTGGAAGCTGAAGGTGGGTCGCCGGGCGCGGAGCTGCTCGATGCGGCAGGAGGTCTGGGAGCGGAGGCGGTGCTGTTGCTGGTGGTGGCCGAGGGGGAGCTGCGCGTGGGCGAGGGCAATGCAGAGGGCAATGCAGATGATGAGACGCTGGTGATGAGCGGCCATGTTTGGTGAGCTGAGGATGGGGTGGGAGTGGAAGGGGGGGTTATGTAGGGGGGCGGGGGGGCACACGTGGCGGGGGTGGTGGTGCATGTGAGTTACACATAAGAATGTATGTGGCGTCCGGATGCTGATTCTACCTGACACACCACTACAATTGTCCTTCTTTCGCCATCTTTCATTTGTATACTTGTACAGCACTTGCATGCGCCGTTTCTTTTCATCGTGTATATATACTTATAATCATTTTTTTTTATATTTTATTTTATGTTTTATAGTAATTTCTTTATCTATTACATATATTTTTAATCAATATAAAAAAAATAAAATAATATCAATGAATTATACTATTTTCATAAATATTTAATTTTATAGCATTTTATTTTTATTTGTTAATTAAATTTATTATAATACACAGTAATAGTATTATTTAAAGTAATTTTAAATGCAAAATAAATTACATTTTAAAAAATTAATATAATTATTTTTATATCTTCTTTATAATCATAATTATATATAAAAGTTATTTATCAATATATATTATAATTCTAAAATAAATATAAAACATAAGGTTATCATTATTAAAATTCATATACAAAAACAAAGAAATAAATATATACACATCACTTTTTTTTAAACATATATATGTGGTTGCATAATAATTTTTTAAATTAATAAATTATATGCATTTACCTTTAGATATTATTATGCATTTATTTTAAATTTATTTTATCATTTTTAAATACAAATATATTAAAAATTAATTAATAAAAAATATATCCAAACTCTACATAACCGTCATATTTCAATCATATTTTCTCTTGTTTTACATCAAATTAATTTCTATCACTAAATATCTACCGATATATTAAAAAATAAAAAACATATATAATCCAACATTACTCTACAAAACAAATTATTCATTTTACTACTTAAAAAACAAAGGAAAAACAAACAAAATCTCCACTGCATTCATAACAATAATTTTAACACTTCTTCTGATTTGAACTGCTGTTGCTGCAGGATCTTCTGCAAGTTCGAACTAAAAACATCATCATCATCCACCATCATCCACTGATTCTCAACAAAACACACGCAGCAAATAAAGCCGGCATCAGTCCACTGCAGACGCTCACATCAAACACAACTATTCGATCACAAACTTCACCGGAAAGTACTTCGATGGTTACACCAAATTTAAAAATCAGACAGCATGACGAATATGTCATTGCAAGGAGAGGCACGGTATTGATGAAAATGCTAAAATTGATCAACTATTGTGTACACATACATACATATATATATATATATATAGCCATATTTGGAGGACAAAGTAGGGTGAAAAAGGACTATTCGATTCCTCCATTATCATAATTAAAAATAATAAATACAAAAACTCTTTGTTTTCCACACTATGATTATTATTGTTAATCATTAATTATTTTACCTTTATTTCATTTTATTATAAATTTATATTTTTAAATATCATTTAATTGAATGTGTAAAATTTTGATTTATAAATAATTATGTATTGTTAATATTTTATTATAATTTAATTATTTTTAAAATATAAATATAAATGTCATTAACGTGATTAATATATTATATTAATATTTCAATTTTAATGTATAAAATTGATATAATTAATGTTATCGTTGGATTTTATATGTATTTAATACTATTAATTTAATTTTTATTTTACAATTAAATTTAAAATTAATTTAATGTATATGATACTTATTTTTTAGATATAAATAATACTATACTAAAATAAAAAATATATTTTTTAATATTTTAACATGAGTATATTAAAAACTAAAATAATTATAAAAATTAAAGAAATATAAATTAAACAATTAAAAGAAAAAAAATATCATACGATTTTATTCTAAGTTCTTTTACAATAAAAAAATTAAATATATATATGATTCATATCTCATTCTAACAAAGGATTGAAGATATATATCATAATTATTATGTATGATTATTTTAAAATAACAAATCAAACATATCCTATTAAAATAAAATAAAATATCTAAAAATTCAAGTTTTTTTAAAGGTAAATCCCACCCTATTTTGAATAATCATGCATAAACTTTTTTAATATAAATTATATTAATAATAGTTTATTATTCATTATGTCTAATTGTGAATTATATATAATATTAGATAAATATGAATACCAACAAATAAAAAAAAATATTAATATTTTTTTATAATTTAAATTATTGTCACTAATTTCTCTTGTATATTAGAAAAAAATTAGACAAAGAAAAATAGAATGACAAATTTTAGTATTTATAAATTTTATATAAGATAAGTACAAAATAATTAAAATTAGAATATCAAAAAATACAAAATAAATATATTCAAAAATTTTAGTTTAATAGTACATAATTCATTTTATATATTTTTAATTATACATAATGTTTGTCCAAGATAAATATAAAATATTATATAAATAATAGTAATATACATAAAATAAAAATATTTTTGCACATAAATAAAAAAAAATATTTTTATTTACGATCTTTTATAACTAATCAATATTTTTTTAACAAAAAAAAGAAATAAAACTATTAAAATTCTTACTTGGGCCAATAATATTAATTAAAACAATAAATACATATCATGAGAAATATTAATGTCTTAAAATATATGAATGATCAATTAATAACAAAAATCAAATTATCAAAAATAAAATTTTTTGTAAAATTTACAAATATTTAAGTATATAAAACGATTCTATCAAATAAGCAATAGAAATAAATAATTATTAAAAAAAGTAAATTTAATATTTAAATTATACCATATTTAATATATATATATACATATAAAAATTCATTAGAAATTGATATTATACTCTTCTTATTAGAAAAATATATATAAATTATGTACACATATGATATATGACATAAAATAAAAAAATATATTGGCTCACATTTATGTAATAGCCAATCAAATTCAATAACCAATGAATTTTTTTTTAAAAAAAAAACAAAATTAAAATTGTTGAAAATTCATAGCCAATCAAATCTTTCACTTAATCAAATTATTTTTAAAGAAATTCAAAACCCTTATAAATTCATGCTTTACATTGCAGTGGGGGCCACAATGAGCTCAAATATATATACCAGCAGGAAGCCCGTGCTACGCACGGTGTCATTAACGAAAAAAAAAATTATAATTTATTATTATATATTTTGTATATTTTAATTCAAAGTATTTTTTAAAAAATTTTGATGTGTCTCTCTTTTCTATTTTATAAAAAAAAATTATATATTAATATCAAAATACCTGTAACTTTTAATTAAATTACAAATATATTATTTTTTTAGTTAAAAATTTTCTTATACATTAGCAAATAAATAAATATATATATTAAAAATATTGATAATACATATTAAATACTTCACAATAATATATTAAAATACTACATATATTTTTATTATATCCTACTTTTTAATCTTTAAAAATATTTTCAAATTTAATATATCTTGATCAATTAAATTTAAATATATAAACTAATTAGTCATATATTATATGTATATGTATGACATATATATACTATATGTATAAAATAGTAAAAAAAACACTGCATAAATAATTGCAACAATTATAAAGATTGAAAATATTATGTATAATTGAATAATAGAAATGATTTTTTCAAAAAAAATTATACTATTAACTAAAATTTTGAATATATTATACATAAGAATAAATAAAAATAAATAGATTACTTACTCCATAATAATAATAATAATAATAATAATAATAATAGATAAAAGTTAAATATTTACATTTAATATATTCAAACAAATATATATACACATTAAGAAAATATATTAGCACATAAATATACAACCACCAATTAAAAGAACATATTCGTCAATAAACAACACATCCTAACTACACTTCAACAAATTTTAAACAAAACAAAGTGGAATTCTGAAGTATTGGTTAGAAGCTGAAACAGATCAACTTGTCCCAATTTTAACGAATATTAAACCACAAAAAAACAAAAACTTCGGTCATTAACTCTAGCGTTATCACATAGACTTCACTGTCATCTTCAACGACATACATCTTCAGCTTCGAACGCAGCAAAGAGAAAAAAATGTTTAAGCCCGTTCGGGGAACCATGGACTCCTTTGACCATTGCCATTGTTCAGATTGACTGCTACATGAGGAAGCTACCGCCGCTAGTCACTGCAAAGTTGGACATCAGAATTGCGGACGTCACTGCAAGTTTTTTTGACGAAATGTGAGGCAGAGGACGGATATAATAGTTATGGTTAAAAAAAATAGAATTAGATTGAGGATAAGAAAAAAATAAAATAGATAAATGCTCAAATGAAAATTTTCCATATGTATGAAATTTATAGGAGTTGGAAATTTTAAATATATTATATTTTCATAATTATTCTACATAAACGTTTAAATTATCAAGAGAATTGTAATTATTAAAATGCCAGTACAAACCTTTAATATACCAAAACAATTTCTTTTTTCATTTCCAAAAAAAGCATTGAAAACTCCAATATAGCAACCATTTAATTTATTAATATTAAAATATTATTTAAAGATAATATATAGAAGATTATTAAAATGAAACAAAATGATGTATTTATATAAATAACAGTTTGGCATGTTTTATATTTTTTTTTTCAATTTTATTTTTTTAAAATAATATATAGAACACAAAAAATAATTTAAAAATAAAAAAAATTATATAACCATTAATAGAATTATTTAAATTATATTTTTATAAATATAAATATATATCACAAATGATAAAATCGTATAAATACTATTGTTAGCACTTATACAAATATATAAAGATATTGATAAATTCGTTTTATAAAATAATTAAAAATTATATAATTATTAAAATGAAAAAAAAAAATTATGTATATAGCCATTAATTAAAAGAATATTTAAGTTATATTTGAATTCTAATTTATAAATATTCATTATAATTAATTATTTTATTATGTAATAAAATTAAATAAGCAAATTAAAAATTAAAAT